AGCTGTCCGGCATCCTGCCAACAACTAATACAAAACATCTTCTGCACAGTCTGCAGTCTATCATTATCCTGGGAAGACAGACCCCAGCATGTCATGAAAAACTAAAATATAGGTCTCAGAGAGACATAATGACAGGCAAAAAAATGAAAAGAGAAGTTTAGTTTTGTCTCTGGCTGCTTGGATGTGATGTATGAGGAGAAGAGTCTAAAAGGGAATTAGGTCAGTAGTCAAAAGCAGTATTAAACAAAATTCATGTGAGGTTGAAATTACGCAGAATTATTCAGCCATGAGGTTGTGAATCATAATCAAGAGTAAAAATATGATTCAAAATATGACTAATAATAATACAGAAAAGTTGCCCAACACAAATTTTGAGTCACTGTTTCTGGACCTGCTGCCACTCATGATTATTTTCATTACCTATCTTTTTCTATGACTAATCCTTAAGAAATGGAAATACGCATTATGCCACTTTGGACTCCCTCATCGTACGTCATGTTCTCCAGAAGTTATGACAGAGACAGACAAAGTCCCAAGTAAATTGGATATGACGCAATAAAAAGGTGCTTAAAATGAAACGCCCCCGATACAATTGTGGATTTCTCTGGGTTTTAAACATTGTTGGATGATCTAAGTACACAAGTCAACAAAATATAACATAGGTCTAGTTGTTTTTAGACATTTTAAAAAAGAATTGTTACTTATTATATCTTTAAGCATAAAAGCATAAAAGCATATGCTGATTTTTATTCTAATTTCTAAATCAAGCTAGTGAATCTATAAGTACTTCTACTGCGCAGTTAAGCAAATCTGTATAGTATATCTATATCATGCAACAGACTGCACAACACAAAGTCAATGTACTGTGCGAACTGTTAAAATGAAAAAGAAAAAACTTGAATAAATGCACAGAAACTTTGTCATGCACATGCACACACACACACACACACACACACACTGAGTCCGGGCAAAATAAACACTGGCTGACAGTGCATGCTACACAACATTAAATATGCATACACTGAATAACTAAACAGTTTTAAGGAGGTTTCTCAGCTACAGAGCCGCCAGAAGCTGAACTCAACGCACCTCGAGGGCCTTTAAACACAGGATTAGTTTCTGCAAAGCTGCAAACAACAATCCATCATTCACAATTCAGCCAATTCAAGCACTCGAGACTGAAATGCTGCAGCCCGGGAGAGTACGACAGATATCTCTGTGTGAACTCCACAAGCACTCCATGAATGAGTCATGCCTACTCGTGATGCGTTTCTGATTCATTATAAATTGTAGGATGCATGATAGTATTTAAGATTTGTGATACTGTATATTATGTATGTATGTATATATGTGTGTGTGTGTGTGTGTGTGCGTGCGTGCCTGGTTGTTCGGGTGGGGGCGGCGGGAGATAATTGGATCCTTCAGTTACTCTGATCGGCTGTGAATCATCTGCAGGCATCTGACTTCCTGGAAGGCTAATTCAGGAGTTATAAATTTTTCCACATTGGGACTCATGAGGAGCCAACAGAGTTTCAGTATTCGCACTCACACAACACTTTCTGACACACTAACAACACACCAGGCTGCTCTTTTGCAGCATTTTGTGTGGGTGTGTGTGTGGTGATAGCTAAATGTGCTTCTGATGGGAACTTCAATGACATGATGCAAATTAAGTATTTTGCGTGAGAACGTGTTCCTGCTTTCACTTCAACTTAGACATGACTCGTCTTTCAGCAGAACACACACAGAGGAACAAACACACCGTAAGCGATTTCATATGTGTTTGTGTGTGCGTGTGTGTGTAGGGCTGTACATAACAATTATTTTCATTATCGATTTTCTCAGTTATTCATTCAGTTCACAGTTTCTCTGTCTCAAGTTTGCTTGTTTTATGTGACCAACAGACCAAAAACTTTACCGTCAAGTTTTACAACTAACAACAACACATCCTCATGTTTGAGAAGCTGTTGAATTGAATAATCCATTAAAGTGATTGACTGTTGCAGCCCTCTATGTTTGCAGTCATGAACTGTGGAGACACTTCCGTCCTGCACCCACACTGTGCAAACAAACAGACACAGATGCACACAAATCTATTAATGTATTGCACCTACAAGCACACACATGTTCCATGCGACATCCTCATGCTGCTGCAAATAGCTATAATCAACATTCTTCTAACTACTAGAACAGGGGCGCATTTGGGTAAACACATGCAAAATACACACACGGCCTCTAATTACTGCTGCTTTGGAAAATAACACACAGGCACGCATGCCCCCCCACCACCACCGAACACTCGAAAAGAAATACAACGGTTCTTGCATTGTGTTTGTGGTGCAAATTCAATGTCTGAGATTTTAAGGCTGAGCTGTTTGGGTGGGCAAGGGCCATGCATGTCACATTACGCGCACACACACACACACACACACACACACACACACACAAACACCGACTGCTGGATAACATGTGTGTTGTGTTGCAGAAGGTCCCCATTATGACCAGAAACAAGCTTTCTTTTTCTTCCATTTTCTGCCCTAATTTGTCTCTTCCGTCTCTCTCTCTCTCTGTCATTCTTCTTTTTCCAGATTCTTGCTCCTGTCTGCCTGCCAAGTTATCTCCCATGGCTCCTCTCTCCCTCCCTTTTTTCCTCTCTTTCTCCTCTTTTTTTCTCCCTCCACCCCCCCAGAGGACCGTTGTGGGTCAGACCTCTCTCGTGGTCTCATCAGTGGATTTCTTAGAATCCCTGAGGGAAGCGGAAGAGCTGGTATGACATTGTCTGATCCATTGCCGATAGCTGAGGCTGCAGAGTCTGCTACTTTTTTGTCTGAAATAACACATACATGCAAACACTAACATGAAATGTGCACAACGCAAACATATTTTAAAACCACTGCTTAAGATTAGAGCCACAGTGTCCAAATTCCAAGAAGCGGCCTGTTCTTTTAAGGAAAGTTGTTTGAGACGGCAACCAAGACAATACTGTGTTGTGTGGGATAAAATCCCCAACCAAGTAATCTTATTATGTTCGGAAAAGAAAAATTACATTATAATTATGCTGAACAAGTGTCAACCCCCCTCTCTAGGGAGTATCCAAGAGTTTCAGTTTTGAAAATGTGAAGCAGATTCAGCAGTATTCAGATGGCCACAGATGAATATTTCTGTGAATCCTGGTTGTTTTATTTATTTTTTTAGAATTAATGTATTTACGAGTATGCATTTATGCGGACACAACAGAACTTGTCTTGTCCAAAAGAGAAGTGAAGACAGCACCAAAATATCCGACTGTCAGATACTAGGGAAGTCTGTGGGGAAGTAAAAACATTATAAGCGTAAAGGCCAATTAAACACATGGAGCTGAACTAGACCTTTATTGTGGACTTTTGTTAAACAGGAAATAATTATGTAAAGTTTAGCTCCCACCCTGGAGGCGTGTTCTTCTGTGTCTTTTGTGCTGTAATGTCTCAAGGTGTGACAACTGTCCCATTAGACTGTATGATGCTGAGAATACTGCAGGGGGCAAATATTCACACCATCACATGACTTAGATAAAATGTTTTTAAAGAAGGCGGCAACCTGACATACATTTGTGAGGCTGGGTGGGCAATATGATGACATGTACAGTACGATGCTGAGACAATCAGTCAACCACACACACACACACACACGTACACACTCTGGAGATAAGAACTGAAGTGCACCCCTTCCAAAACACACACACACACTCCTTCTACCCTCCTTCACTATTACTGTTTTGATTTACTGCTACACAACACTGGATTGTGAAACCAAGTGGCTGCTCCCCACTGGTTCCTGTTCTCTATCCAGCAGTTATGGATCTGAGCACGCACGCCACGCACTCATGCTCCAGGGACGCAAGATCACGTACCACACAAACAACTATAACGTTCACATCTTACATATTAAATAAGTCAGTAAGTAAGTGAAGTTCCTGGATTTCTGTTGGAAGTGTCACTTAAGCTACAACAGTAAGTTAAAAAAACAGTGTGTGTTGTGTACATGTTTAGTGCCGGCTGTCCACACTGATGGGATGCCAAGCAGCTCGAATACCGAAAGATCCTGCTTGGTTGTCATGGCTGAATTTTGAGGGGCCCCGGGGCAAACACTTATTGTTGGGCCCCTGTTGACCAACAATACATGCTAATGTATCCATGATGAATAAATGGCACACACAAACCCATTGAATGGCAACAATTCTGATAATTAACTGCTCTTTGTAGATCACAAGTATCTACGTCTTGAATATTAAAATTTGGGACGTTTCATAATTGTCTATGATAGTAAACTCAGGTCTCATACTGATAATTAGTCAATAAAACAAGGTTTGAACGTGTTATCTAAGGCTTCGGTGAATAATTAGCATATCATAATGAAATAATCTGCACAAATGAACATTTTCTGACATTTTATAAACTGAGCAGATTAGTAAAGAAAACAGAAGTCAAGTGTAGTGACAGTGAACATTTTCTTCTTCTCTGATGATGGAATAATACATTGTCTTGAGGTTGTGATTAAAATAAGTTGGTAGAAGACAACTTTCACCAAAAATAAAAACTCTCGAACTGACTTAAAACAATTAAAGTCAGATGGTTAGATTCTGCTTTCATTTAGTACATCCCTGCAACAAATTCTGGATTGATACAGTTGTGTGTATAAAGTGCTTTTTTTGGTGAGAGGGGGGGGTTGCATAGAGTCTCTAAGTTTACATTTTAAAAGTTTACTTCTCGGCTACAAAAAAGTTTTTCTGCATCTGCTGCTCCAGCCACCGGGGAGGAAGAAGAGGAGGAAGAAGAAGAAGAAGAAGAAGAAGCCCTTTAAATGTGAGAGCATTCTCTGACTATTCTTCTTCTTCTTCTTCTTATGATCAGTGCAGAGAAAGTGTCACCTCCAGCGGAAGCTCCGTGTTATTTGTGCGCTTCACCCCTGGGTGATGTTACAGCAGAGTAATGGGAGCCGAGGCAGCGCTCAGTAATACTCACGTTCTCCGTTATCTCGGATGGGCACCCACCGCAGCACGACAACCGACCGACCAGCTGGAGCTCGCATAACGGAAATGTGTCGAGAGGCGTCTAAAGTAACGCGAACCGACGTCGGTGAGCAGCGGCAGGTCGAGAGAGCGAGAGAGAGCTACACGGAAAACAAGAAGGAGAAGAAGAGGAGGAGGAGGAGGAGGAGGAGGAGAAGAAGAGCGCGCTCTCTTTCATGGTGAGCGCGTGCCACGGCTCGTCCGCACGCGGAGCACAAACAAGGAGGAAAAGAAGAAAAAAGTTTCAGACACGAAGTTGACGCGAAAAAAAAAAAAAAAAAAAAAAGTGGCGACTCCTCATTTCCGCTGTCAAGAAAAAAAAAAGAGCCGCGATCCTCCTGCGTCGAGTTAGAGGAAACTCACACACCGCTTCCTGTGGAGGCTTTAACAATAAGAGGGTGACCTGGAGGTTTTCACTCACACACTCTGAGAAGGTTTTTATTTTTTACATCAGTCAGATCAGGAACACAGTCCCACAGCCACAGATAGAACAAGTGCAGTCTGATGTTGTTGTCTTGTTACTACTCTTTCTCTTTGGGTCTATTATTATATTATGATTTCAAATGTGATCATTTTCTCCATTTATTTATTTGTTATAATGTTTTATGGTTAAAAGGTGTAGCCCTAGAACAGTAGCTGTGCTTAGTTGAATTTACAGACCACTTATTAATCAAAGTCCACTTTATTGGCAATTCTGCTATGTACAGGACATAGACGGGATTGCAATGGTTTTTCTCTGATCCCCAGTTTAAACACATAAGTAGACAGAACATATAAGCATGTAACATATTAAGTACTCAAAATAGTACCACAAAGTAAAATACTTAATGGAAAGTAATGTAATGTACATCCACAGGATGTATTTACTACATACTGGCAGTTGTGCTATGATGAGCAGTATCAACAGTATCAACAGTTTGATTGATTCCAACAAATCTGAAAAACCTCTCAATACAATATAGTCCAGTGTTACGCTCCTGTCTAGGGGGTAGGAGCGCAGCATGAGAGTGTAAAAAACTTCGAGATAATTCATTTACTATACAAAACAGTGAGACATGATATTAAACTGCAAATGATTATAACTCAGGGTTAGCCCAGGCCAAAGCAACAAACCAAAGAATTAGTTTCATCAAAGAAAAGTTCTGGTTTAACCTACTGAAATAAACAAATAAACCAAAAGACATTACCTCAACCTCACTCCCTGAAAAATCACAAAGAACAAACCCAGCTCACTCTACAGCTCCAGTGCTACTTACTAACAGACAGTGAATGGGACTTATTACAATATATACACAAAAACTTTCTAACTGGATCTACAGTTATACAAACCATAACAAACCTCTTTTAATCTTGAAAAAATGTTGGCTAACATATATTTTATTTACACATTGTGTCAACAAAAGCTGACTATATGAGCTTCATAGAGATATATATATATTATGGCACCAAATATAATATATTGTGCATATTTCCTTTACAACACTGTGTCACACCTTTATGTTGAAATACCAGACAGGAAGTTTCGTGATGTCTGCAGCAGAGTGCTCACTGGAAGAGTTTGGTATGTGAAAGATGCAGAAACTCTCCAGACTCCACAGACACTGCTGGTTTGATGAGTGTAATCTGTGGATGTCCTAGAGTGCTCCATCAGTTATTTTTATAGTTTCACATCCGGCATCAGTTCTTTCATAAAGTTTGAATTATAGCCACAATAATTCTTTAAACTGATGCTGCGAAGGAGAGAAAGAAATGGGTATTAAAGGGAGCACTTCTATAAACTCAAGCTCAAGAGGTTTAGCAGTGTTTGCTGTCAATACACCAAACTGATCTACAGAACTGGGAGACGACCTACACTTCATATTTATGTTCTGTATTTGTGATCTTCCTATAGATGATTACTTCACATGGCATAAACCGTCACTGAATCCCAATAGAGAAATGTTCAGCACAAGATAAAGAGAGAAGCAAACATAGAGGAATAGAACAAACCTGTGATATTTTTGGCCCCTGAGGATCAAAAAGTTAAAAAAAATAACATGGGCAATCTGCAAGGCAAGAAATAAACACTATCCTTGAAAAATGTTGTAAATAGGTGCAGCAATGTCTTAAGTGAAGTGACAAAGTGATGCAATTAGTAGCATCAAAGCATAGCACATGTAATAAATGTATATATGAGTGATATGGTGTAATACAAGCATAACAATGTCTAACAATACGTAAGTTATAAGAAAAGGGAAAATTAAATCAGTCTCATCAGGTTGGCAAACTTCAGATCAAGTATTTATTCGTCTCTAGAGACTCGAACCAGCTGGTTTCTGTCATCACATCAGATTTATTTACCTGTCCCAATTATTGATCTCCTTCAACTCACAGGTTTGAGTGCCTAGAATTGACACACAGCGACACCTAGTGAGAGACAGACTGAACAACACCAAGAATGTGTGAAGTATTCATGAAGCTCAGCTAATGTCAACACAGGCCATACTGATGACTAAAATCTGTATTCCTCACAATTCACATTATTATAAACTATAAAACAAGTAGTGATCATAGAATAATTAACTGCTCACACACTTACATATTAGCACAGTTTATTGAGTGGCTTACAGCAAATGCTTCATTGACAAACACCTTTTCAGGATAATATATCAGTCACAATGAGTTCAATATTATTGGTTATTTAATGCAATACTCATTCTGTGTGTTATAATATTGAAAATTGATACTAAAATCAAAAGTTGAGGGAAAATATAATTGTGCATTTAGTTTGCTTCCCTCATTTGGCACTCCTGAATAAAAGATACATATTTTTTATTATTTATGTGTTTAATTAGAAATATTCAAAATTCCCTTAAATATTATTGTAAAAGAAACAGTTGTCATCTGTGATTTCAGTAACACATTCCTGGAGTTCATAAAATTGACATTAATGCAACCATAATATTTTGGATAATACATGTCAAAAAAGGATACCGTTTTAATGTTGCTGCGTTAGAATACACAACCCACACTGTACCGTTTCTTCCCACATTGTTGTTTCTGCACAAGCACTGTGCATTGATGCCGACTGAAGCAACTGAGCCATTGTCAAAAAATGTGATTGCACCGAGATAAGCTGTTGGCAGCACAAGAACAGAATAACAATTGAAAAAGACGAATAGTCAAACCCTCCTATCACTGTGGTCCTATGGTAATGCTTACAAGTGTAGTAACAGAGGTATAAAGATAACATAAGGCACGTATAAAAGAAAATGTAAAAGGCTGCATGATTGATATAGAATGCGATCATTTTAAAAAGGCCCATTTTGCAAACTGCTGGTGTTAATTTTCCAACATGGAATAGTAAATGTGTTTGTGTCCACACAAAAGACGTTAGATGTTCACATACAGCCCAGGCTTCGGTCATTCAGTAACATTCAGATTAACTAAGATTAATTAAGTTTTGACAAGTAGCTGGATAAAATTAAGTTTTGATTGTATGACATGAAATTATTAGAGAATTATGAAGACAAGTGTAACGTCGCCCAAGGTCAAAGGATAAACAATCTGCTTTTAAGAAGTACAAGAGTCAAAAGAGAACTCAGTGACAAGTGCTCATGACACAACATCATCTGGCCGCTGGCTAACAGGGGCTAAAAATAACAGGGTGTGCAACTCTGAGCGAGACATCCAGCTCCCACCTCGGTCCCCGGTGACTGTCGAGAGGATGCTCTGACATTAGCAACCGCGAGGTCTCTGAGGCGAGAGCTGCCCCAGTGGGAGAAAGGAGGAGAATCTGGACTCGTTTTCCCCACTAACAACACTTCTTATCCTCAGAGCAGCCTCAGTGCTCTGCTAAAAAGATCTGGGTTTGATGTTGGTTTAAAGTTGCAGGAAACCTAAAATCATGAATTAAGATGCTAATGGATAATTTAGAAGCTATCACCAACTGCTCAAATATTTATCGGGAACTTCTTAAATTTTATCGTCTTAATTTCCTGATTCAAGCACCTTAAGATGTTTACGGTTTCATCATCCACAGTAAATAACCCGGACATCACCAGAGACCTGATTTTCTATGCCCCGTGGTTGATATATATCACTATAGCATTAAGATCTACTTTGATTTGTTGTGTCATTAGATTGTTATTTAGGTGACCTTTGTTGTTTCAATAGCATATAACCTATTTCCCTTCCATCAGAAAAAGACAAAACTGTGATGAGTTTAGCAGCTACATGTTGTTTTTGGGGTCTTTTTCAGATGCATGGTATAATAGTTTGTATGTGTAACTACAGCAAAACATTATTTTAGATCGTGTTCCTACCGCTTTAAAGAAAATGGACCCTACAACAATTGCACAAGTACATTTAGAAGCTCGATGGGCAGAAAAGGTCTGAATCAGTTTTATCCATTACATGGCCCCAACCCTTTATATCTTGTAAGAAAAAGTCATGTTGTACTTTGGAAAAAAGACAATGTGCAAAACTGTAGAAAAAAAAGCCTATTTGGAATTTAAAAGAGTCTTGGACCGTATAGTGGATAGTGTTATTCTTTAAGACTGACTGATTCACCTGTGCCAGACAAGATTTGGAATCAATCGGAGATTTTTGTTTTTGTCTTTTTTGATTGGAGTTAAGACTGCATTCTGGAATTAGGTCCAAGCTTCCTCGCCTTTCTGCTCAGTCCAGAAGGGTGTAACATTTCAGGATGTTCAGGGAGGAATGATCTAATGTGGAAAAATAAATGACCCATTTCATTCATCATCATTACTGGCTCTGCAGCCACTGCATTCTTAAGTCCTCCACCTCTTTGCCGTACCAGTCATGGAGTTTGGAGAAGCAGACGGTGCCGGGGCAGACGGGGCTTTCCAGAGATGCTCCTCTTCTCCTCGGTGGCACTGGTGGAGCCCTCACACCCTCTGCCCCATAGCCGATCACAGTGCTACTCCCAGGGTCTGCACAGCCTTCCCAGGCCACACAGGAAGACCCTCCCTCAACAAAGCCATTAGCCAAGGCAACTGGTGGTTTACTCCATGCAACCCCGTTCTCTTTGGAGCAGCCAGAGACAAGCTGCACCTCATCCTGGCTGCTCTTTTGAGCGGAGAAGGGGACTAACATGGGAGGAGCACTTGATGACGATGATAAAGAGGATGAAGAGGATGAAGAAGAAGATGCTCCTGACCTAGACCGCGCAACCTGGTTTCGTCTGGACAGTTTGGGCCTACCCTGCATGCCTCCGACTGCAGCCCCGACACAGCTGCCTCCTGCAGCCTCCTGGATCTCCTCCAGCTGCCTCTCCAGCTCTTTCACAACCAGCCTCATGTAGTCAAAGCTGGCCCTGGACAAAGCTTTCACCCATGACTCCATAGCCACCTGACTGTCAGAAGCCATCTTGTACACGCGAGCTTTGGCACAGTCGAACTTGACGGCGAAGGCGAACTCCTCGGCTGACTCGCACAGCTCCACGGTGCATCCTTCCAGGACGATGACGCCAATGGGCTCTCGGCTGTCACGCTCCTCAAAGTAGAAGAGCATGTTCCCTTTCAGGACAAACCAGCGCCGGTGATAAGCCGTGTTGCGCTCGCCCTTTTTGAACAGGAAGCCTGTCTTGTCTGGTGGGGAGTCACAGGTGGCATAGTGTGCCACGCTGCGTTCGTTCAGCTTCATCTTCTCCCCTTCTTCTTTTCCTCAGAGGATTCTTTATTCACCTAAAAAATATGGGAAAGTGAAGAGGTCATCCTGCAGTAAAATGAATTAGAGCATACTGCAACAGGAGTCTGCAGCTTTTCCTTCCAGTGACTCACTGAACCAGCAGATTTTTCTTATTAATTGTGCTAATCAATGAAAAGAAAAAACTAACTGCAGACTGTCCTGCACTCAGCGCTGCATGATGCATATTTTTAGTTTACTAACATGGTGCTATACAGCAATAACAGGGAGTTGAGCTGTTTCTGTTGTTCAGAAATGCTAAGTCTATTTGCTCTGCTCCTAAAATGAGGTCAGAGCAGAGGGTCGGCTGCAAAAAACAAACAAACGAAACCAACCTGACTTGAACCTACATCCTGGTCTCCTCCCAACAAAGCCACCCTGCCAGCCCTCATAGCGTAAACACTGTTCTTACTTTAATTTCACTTGTGAGACAAGTTTGCACACACAACCTCAATAATTCTGTGAAAATAGTATAGTATAGTATCTTTTTTAAAAACACTGGGAAAAAAACTATTATTTCAATTGTTAACAGTAATAAATTGAGTTTTCAAATTAAATCCACCAAATGTGTTAGCGTGACTTGTTGACTTTACTTTGAACAAACCAAATTCATTTGTGCGTCACTAATAGCGGTCTTCTTTTAAAGTTGGTAAACATTTTTCTTGTTACACTGTAGTGGAGAGACCAACCCACTGCAAATACAGGTCAACTTCAAAGCCCGACTTATTCAACAGGAAGAAATTGTTATGCTCTGTAGTCACATGTTCAACTGTAAACTAGGGCTCAGACCTCTGTGAAAACAACAACTAATCCAATTCTAATCTGTTGACAAGAAAGCACTTCAATCCAATGGAAATGGTTTAACTTCATCACCGTGTTTATCATTACCTCCACCAAGGGGGTTATGTTTTTGTCTGTGTTATTTATTTGTCTCTCTGTTAGTAAGCAGGATTAAAAAACTGATGGATTGATTTCCATTCGTTTTTCTAGGCGGCAGTGGCTGAGGGAGTAGAGCCGTCTTCCCCATCTGTTTGCCGAAGTGTCCTCGGGCAAGACACTGGGTGAGTGGCAATAAACTGTACTGCAAAGCGCTTTGAGTGGCCATCAAGACTAAAGCTGCTATATAAATACAGACCATTTATCATTTCCACGAAACCTGTTGGAAGGATGAGGTGTAGGTATGGGTGATTTCTTTAACATCGTGAAATAAAATGTTTGGATTTCTCAGAGAATAATTAATTGATGACAGTTTTAAAGGTTCAGTGCGTAGAATTTAGTAACATCTAGTGACATCTAGTGGTGAAGTTGAATGTTGCCACTGAATACCCATCACCTCTTCCTCCCCCTTCCAGACATGACAGAGAACCTGTGTTCATTCAGTTGTCATAGAAACTGATCAAAATGTGTTTAGTTTGTCCAGTTTGGACCACTGTAAAAAAAAACATGGCGGCCTCCGTAGAGGGGACCCTCTCCCGATGTAAATATAAAGTATTTGAATATTAAGAGCCCTTCTAAAGTAGTGAAAACAACAATTCATACAGTGTTGATGAAACACACCAGTGAAAACATCACTAGGATTAGTTTCAGTTTCTACCAACAGATCCTCTCACCACACTGAACCTTTAAAAAGAATGTGTTTACTTACGAGTTCATCTCATGTCCAGCTGCTGTCCACCTCTGTCCTCCCATCACATCTGGAGCTCACCACTCAACATGTCTCCATCTTCTGTTTGGACTGTCAGTCCACATGAAGGCTGGAGGAGACAAAACAAACAGCTTTACAGTCTGAGACACGTGAAGCTGACCAGTCAGAGGAGCTGTTTTTAAGTCTTCCACCTCTGTGATGATGGCTGACGTGTTTCTTGGGAAGAAATGATTCAGTCTCCTGCAGCTCTGTCTGTCTGTCTGTCTGTCTGTCTGTCTGTCTCGCACGCTTTTGACCCATCAGCACTTTAGTGGGAACATGTCTGAAACTGCAGCTACAACAGGTTTCAGTTCACACCCGGACAGACGCTGCTCTGCTCGGTCTGGACGCGCTCCGCCGCCCCGCTGAATACAAATGTGTTTCCAGCGTCAGCATTTTCCCTTCACGACCACAGAGCCGCACACACTCACTGAGTTCAACCCACAAATCACGCTAACGTGACGCTAACGCGATGCTAACAAGCTAAGAGTCCATGCTGGTCACCTTCACGCGATGACTCCTCCTCCTGTCAGGCTCATCATCTGCCTGTTATTTTTGTTATTTACCTTTTATTTCTCCTTCTCCTCTCTTCTTTCTTTTCTTTCTTCCCTTCTTCCCTGTCACGTGGGCATGAAGGCAGGGTCACATGGTTGTGTTGTACGCGGCGAGTTCGACTGGGCGGGCACACTTCCTTCTGTCGTCCCCGGCAGAGAGGGACGGTCATCATCCCGAATGTGCGGTGGAGTAAAACAAGCGCACCCGCACTGCGTCGTCCTTGCCCTGGGAGTAGTGGAGTACGTGCACAGCTGCTCCCGGCGGCGGCGGGCGGGGACACCTGCACGGACTTTAAACATCATGGAGCCTCTCTGGGTTTATGTGGTTCATAAGTGACGAGTCTATGTGTGGTATAATTAATATTATTATTATTAATAATAACGATAACCATCATCATCATTATGCTAATTATCATCATCAGTGATAATTATCACCATTATCATAAAATTAATAATAACCATCAATGTATAGTGAGTTTCTCAACGTTTACTGGTCTAATAAATGGAAATGTTTTGTTTTCTGAAAGACAAAATCTTTTTGTCCTGATGGACAAAGCAAGAAAACTTTCTTTTGAGTGAGATGTGTTGTCTTTTAGCTTCACTGATAAATACATGAACTTTAAAACTGACAGAGCCAACTTGTCTCAATAACTAGAAAATGAAATATTTCAGTTATTGTTAAAATCGCTGCCTCGGTCTTTCCATCGTTTATTCTTTAACCTTCGTGGTTTTTTATCCACCACCTCAGTGACAGTGAGTGAGTGATTTTTAGAGAGCTGAAACAAATAATTAATGCGTCAACTATTCTTGTAACTAGTCAGCTATTTTTGACATGTCGGTCATACTCAGGTTCCTAATATGCTTTTCATTGTCTCAGTTGATAAAACAGAAAAGTTGTCATGAATATAACAGCATGCTGCAACCCTGTGAAGTTGCAATCGGTCAATTACAAGTCCATCACTAAAACTTTAAACTATGACTTTCTTGACTAACTGTCAGCCTGATGAACACATGACACGAAAGTGCAGTACTATATTATACGTAGTGACATGTAAGCAAGAGAAACTAATTGGAATAGTTTGTGTCCTATTGAGGAGAAAACCCTAACAATGCATCATGTGATGTAAGACAATCATGTTTTTTATATGCAGAATGTTGATCTTCAGAGTAACTATGGAAACTGTAACTTTTACCAAAAACAAGATGAGAAAAGTTGCAGAAAATGGAGCTATGCAAGTAAAGTACAGTTACCTCAAAACTGAGTACATTACATTACATTATATTTCTACTGAAAACTAATTAGGTCTCATATCTTTTATAAGAATTTGTCATTGAAAAATCATAGATGTTTTCTTAAATATTTCATATATTATGATGTGTACATGTTTTGTTACAGGGGCTTTTACATCACATTATATATTAAGAGTACATTGACTCACTGTCAATACACATACATTTAATGAATCAGTTATTCTATTGGTTATATTTCAATTGTACTTACCACTATACCACACTTCTTCTGTTGGTTTATTCTGCTTTGGAAACATTTCACTTTCAAAGAATGTACCATTGCACATATGAATTCAATGCAGCAAAGACTGCAGATTTTTCCAGTTCATGGATTTAAACTTGTTCCAGTCTGAAGACGACCTCTCTTTCAGTCACCACTGCTCTGTTCCTGTGACCACATCCTCCATCTGAACCACTGGCTGTGGCTGATGTTGATGCTGATGTTATAGCGCGTGCGACTATGACAAACCACTGAATTCATTAGACTATATTCTGGAGACAGCCAGAGCCCTAACACCACCAGCCTGCTATCTTACCACATCTAATCTCCAATTAACTGATGTAGCTGCTGATGCCATTTAATGTATTTTTCTCTCCGAAAGGTTTGCACCCACTGCCTTTTTGCTAACGGTAATTATGTGCGATGTGCTCGCAGTCAGATTCATTTCCTCTATTTCACTCCCAGCTCACAGAGTCTTGACATTATGAAGGATTAATTTGCAAGAGCACAGTTTATAACAGAAAATGCAGACATAAAATCAACATCCTGGATACTTGAAATTTTTGCCCAGTCCATAAAATACACACAAACACACCAACATTGAGTGCAAAGTGTTTACTTTTCACAAATATTTTCCAACAGTTTGTGGACATACAACAAAATATTACCGATTGCGTTTTGAGACATCCCAATCATCTTTAAAACAGATTCTTGATTGATGCAGGATTTGGTCATGAGTTCAGTGTCTGTGTCCAGTGAGAACTAAGAAGTGGAGTTTAAAGATGGTGGTGCCTCCAGTCTGAATGTGTGGAAAAAGTATATGTATCGACAAAATGCTTATATATTTATATAAATATATGATTTTCATTTTGTTCTTGTAAAGCACTATGTAATATCTGGTTTTGATTAGTGCTGCATGAGAGAACTAATATTTCATTGTAAATACTTCACTGGCCTAAGCAGCACGGTAATACCTAGGAAATGTATCAGGATTACACAGACTGCAGAATTAACCTGATGAACATCATATAAGGAGATGAGGGGGGGTTACTTCTAAACTCTTTATTACTGGGAGCAGAGCTCCGTGCATGTTGCACCGACCGACAGACAGCCTCTTCACAGAAATGCATAGAAAAACACAGTAATGGCAGTACAAAGTGAAGAGTCAGTCATGCATTCATTCATTGTCATGCCTCCTGTCTGATAAAGCACAACTAGGTATTTGGTTTATGCAGTTTCTCTTCTCCACCCAAATTTTTTTTTCTCATTCTGTTCCTCGACATGATAATACTGAAGCACTTGTTTTCCATCCATACAAATACCATCCTGTGGGTATATATAAATAACTTATCCTGCTCTGCCATTCTGAAAAAAAATACACGTACCGCTAGGGAATGTAAGCTTTCGTTAAAATACCTTTCAGTCATCCAACACATTATCAAAAATATCATCTCTTTAAATGTTAAAGTCTCTGTAGAAAAATGTCTGAAATATATAAATATCAAACATGTCCATGTGTATTTGTATACAAAGAAAATTTGATGCAAATTATTACTTCTTCAAGGGTCCTTTAAAGCTGTAACTATACCACACTGTACTGTACATCTGCATGTTACTTTGGGATATAAACATAGCGTGCATGGCATCAACTGAGCACAGATAGATGTAATGAACACAATGTCTGGACACAGATCAGTGACCACGTCATCATTCATTTCAAACCATTCGTCTTTCCAAAATACACAGTGATTGTGCATATGGCACATACTGACATAGTATTACTTTCTTCTTATCTGCAGACGGCCAGGCCGACATGTCAGGCTCACCTTGAATGGAGCTATTGATATCCTTCTGAGTATGCACAGAGAAAAAGCCTGTGTAGAAATGAATCACATACTAGCATCATTTGATCCAATCTTCTACCTCTTCATCTGAACTCGCCTGTTCACTTTTGATGATAGGGGTTTCAGCAGTTTTCTAATCTCTAATTCAACAATTTATAAGTAACAAAAATATCACCTCCACAGCTATAAATTCATCTGTCTGTATGTTGTTACATACTGTGACTGCCCTCGCTCTCTCTTCTGTGGCAGTAACATGTGCCTGGAGGCTTTAGTGCTCAAGAACTATGAATTTGTCCAGAGGATCTTGTCTCCTGTTGATTGAGAGCCATTAGAAAAGGTTGATGCCTGGCCTCGGCACCAGCTCCTCCCTGGTTGATCATCCCTTCCACTTGTACCTCAAGTATCGAAATGGGCCCTGCAGGAAAATGGGAGACGCATTAGTATGAAAATCTGACTGTACAGAGGAGAGTCACTTAAAGTAGTCACAGCACCTAGCTTGTCTTTTTCACGCAGCAAAATGAAAATATACCAAGGTATCATTCCCCACGCTCAACCACCCAGACACATACACAAGTCGTCAAAATTAATAGGACTGAACCGTCAGGCACAACTCTGGAGTTTCCCTTGTGTGAAAAAGACAAAAGGGAAGGCTTCATGTCTCTCCTTAAATAGCCGTCACTTTTTTTCCCAGTTTCTCTCTGTCAAGTCTGGAGTGGTTCATTGAGCAGGGGACCCCATCTGGGTCACCATGGCTTTTACAAATCTGATCCTGTTGTTGAAGACGTTGTTTACCTCCTCAGAGTAAGGTGCAGCTGATGCTTCTAACTTTTAACAACCTCCAAAGGAGCGTGAAATCCTCCACATTACGTTTGCTTCACCACCTAAGCTTTCTAAGTTGCACTGAGCCATCGCATGCCCTTTGACTCGTTCTCACACACATGACTGCATGTACTTGTGCATGCCTTTTTGCACTCTCATGCACCTTTTAACACACGCACATGTGTCCTGTGGACATTGAAATGCATGCATATGAGTGAGCGTGGGCATTTTGGCGAGAACACCCACTCATTTTCTTCATAACTTTGTCTGACTCACAGATAAAGATGCATCCAGACAAGCCAGTATTCATGCCTTATGTCCACCAGATTTGCTTTTGAATCCTCTGATGTTCAGCAATGCGGGGCATGTCTATTTTGCAGTCTAATGAACTTTGCATACAGTATCTCCACTACAACACAGTTATTTGGCTCCCTATGTTTCTTATAACATTTGAATTTTCAGTGATCATAATGAAATGTAGCTGATGGAAATAAAAAAAAAAATCAAAGTAAATGATGCATGCAGAATGGGGATGAGCAAACAGCAAACTGTGTCCCTTGGCAGACTATCATCACCAACAATCAGACGGAGAAACAACAGCTAATTAATATTCACTGGCAAAATGTGTCTCTCTCTGACACATTTATTGGGTTTCATTGCTCACTGTGCACAGTGCCAAGTGAAGGAAACCGAGACGATACAGCAAAGAGAAGCACTAAGCTCACAGACAGGTTTACATTCTGACATGTACAGCTCTTACAATCTAACCAGTCAGCTCTGTGAGATTTTATATTAATTATGGAGGCAGCATTCTCACTCATTTACTTGATTACATGAGGTGTCGCACCAGTGACGTCAGCAGGACACCAGGCTGAAATCAAAAGCACACAACCTTTAAATGAACGAACCACTACACATGACAATACATCGGCGGATGCAAAAACAACCAGGAGTGGTTTGTTTTTTGTAATCCAAAGGTAAGAAGTGAAGGATGCAGGAGCTGCAGAAGCAGAAGCTTTTGATTAGACATACCAATTTAAATGCTGCCAAAAGGTGTTTGCTATGAAATGTCAGTTGTGTTTTAATAATAGTTACCTCACCCACATATATATAGAGAAAAGCATACAGCTGCTGCTGGATGAGCAGCATCATGTAGGAAAGAAAGAGAAGAAAGAAAGGAGGAATGAGTGAAAGGGAACGAGTCAGGGAGGGAGAGAAAGAGGTGGGCTATAAGATAGACCTGTGAGCTGTGAGCTGTAGGGAGTAGGTCAATGCAGTTGACTCAGTACTGAGTCACGATGGAGGCGGTGAAGATCCACCTCCTCTGTGCCCATTACAACTTCATCCTCAAGCCCGGAGCACTGGAGCTCAGATCGCCATTTCAAAAACACCTACACCCATGAGGAACAGAGCTCTCTGTGTTAAAAGAACAATCAGATACAAACTAGGACTGGTCGACTAGTGCGACTGTGCAGACAGCTCAAATCATATTCACATTCAAAGGCCACGACTTGATTTCATATATTGTGAAACAACCATTACAAACAGGGCTGAGAATTAACCCTCACCAAAATGTGTCCAGCAGTGTCTGATCAAACATTTTCTGTTATTCATGCTATTATTAAGTTATCATTAAATTCCTTTACACCTGCTTGTGGTTGGACTGTATTTATCAGTTTTAGCAGTCATGTCAAAAAAAACTGGAACATTACCTAGTCCTGGTGAAAACAGCAAAATCCATGGTCAGATTTAACAGCAAACAGAAATGTGAGTTTGAAAAGAGATACAAACGGTGCACACACTTTGACATTGGCTGTCAGAGCTTTCAAACAACTTTGCATCTCCTCTCTTTGAGTTGTGGCCTATGTGCACATACTCAAGGTCTTTTTGCTTCAGTGTTGTGGCAACTAAACAACAAAATTCATTAACTTCAATCTCACAAACAGCAGATTTGACTTAGTGGAAAAAACATAAATGAGAACTCAGAAACACTTAAGTTCAGAGTAGGACACTAATCTGGTTATAAACACAAAAAAGGGGAATAATTTAGTTTCCAAACACTCTGCAAGGCCTGTGCACACACTGGGAAAAACAAAAAAGGACAAATTCCTTTCCTTTCTCAGTGTGTGTTCTTTTAATCATACGATGTCAATTGTGTTAATTTCCTCGGTTCATTGAACACTGCATTAAGGCAGTGCCACAGTAGCAAAAACCCCTGTGAGCTGCACCTATTGATGAAACTGGCTGTATTCCATCCTGTATCACATTACTTTGTGTGGCTGTGTGTGTGTGTCTGCGGCACATGTGTGTGTGTGAGTGTGAGAGAGAGAGGGAGAGAGAGCTTGCTGCTGCCAGACTCATTAGGATCCATTAATTTGAGGTAAATGCAGTGAATGTTGTACACTGAGAGCAATCATCCTGAGGACAAACATGCATTCACATATGCTCCCACACAGCACAACCAAGGCAGCACCAGCCACCGTTGCATTACCATCTCTCTCTCTCTCTCTCTCTCTCTTTCTCTCCCTCCACACATTCTTCCTCACACCCTCATCCCCTCACTCTCATCCACTGATCTCTAATCCAGACGCTGATTTTAGATTGTGAGGCCAGTGAGGTCATGCATTGGATTTTGGCATCAGTTCTATTTCATACCCTTATTTTCTCAGCTTTAACCTCCAAGCTTCCCACCCCCACAAGTCTAAACAGACACATATGTGTATATATATATTAAATGTACTGTTTATATAACATCCTGCCCCCTAAAGCACACACACATCTGCCCCCTCACACACGTTTATTTCACCTTTCTCTCCCCTTCCTTCTTTCCTCACTTCCTTCCTTGCTTTAGTTAGCGTGTTCTCTCTGTTCATCATACAAAAATATGTGCCGCAGCAGTTCAGAGCTTTGTCAAGGCTAATGTTGGTACAAAGGCTGTCTGAGGCACTGCTTTATCTCCTGTAGTCTAATCCAGCTAATTAAGGGCATCGCTGAGAGGAACTGGTGCTACTATTCTCATCCAACTCCAGGGTATAGCGTCTCCCCTATGTCTGCCAAACTGACATGTGCGCACACACACACCTATGCACACACACACACACACACACACACACACACACA